GGACTAGATGATCTGCTCACGTCCCTTCCGACCCTAGAAACTATGAAACTATGAAACTATGAAAAGCTGCCCAAGAGCGGCTAGTCGCAGCCCAGTGGTCACAGAGTGGTGCATTGGCCGGGAAACCCTTGAGGTGCATGCAGCCAGCTGAGATGGCTCCCACAGATTTACTGGCACAGAACCTGCAAGCATTGACGCAGATTGTGGGTTTGCAGCAATGTATGTTGGTGCAACATAGCACGTTGGCTTTTGGAATACACAAGATGACTGCAGAAGATGACCCAGAGGCATATATCGAGGCCTTCAAATGCCATGCCGTTGTCATGGGCCTCAACAAAGGGTACTGGGCCAGCCAGCTGGGAGCCTGGGTAGTAGGTAAGGCCCAGGCAGCCTATCGGGCCTTGACCCGAGAAGAAGCTCAAGACTACGAGGCAGTAAAAGCTGCTATTCTGTACCTCCTTGAGATCAGCCCAGAATACTACTGGCAGCTCTTCCAGGCCAAGAAGGGGGCAGAAGAGAGGCGACTGCGGGTGTTACTCCAGCAGCTTCGGGATCTCTTCAGAAAGTGGGTCAATCTGACTACATGTATGATGGCAACCCTGGTGGACAAGATCGTACTAGAACAATTTGTGAATGATTTGGAAGAAAGAACCCAGCGCTGGGTCTGTCAGCATGCCCTAAAGACCTGCAAGGAAGCACTGAAGTTGGCAGAGGCCTTTGTGGCCACGGAGTGGCATTACCCACGAGAGAAACAAGGGTCCCCATCTCCGGCTCCAGCAACGAGGGAGGTGGAGTGACGTAGGCCCGGATATAGGGCCCAGGGAGGGGACATGGTATGTTACCACTGCAGTCAGACAGGATATTTTGCCCGGGAGTGTCCAGGGCAGACCCCTGAGAGGGGGTGGACACAGAGTTCCCAGAGAGGGATGGTCGAATTCCCCAAAGAACCCATTCAAGGGGAGGCTATGGACTGTAGTTTTGGGACGGGGGTGAGAGCCCGGTATGGGGCACCCTGTGGTGCGGGCCTGGGTTAAGGACTGCCCAGTCTGGGCTGTGTTAGATTCCGGATGTGCTCAGTCATTGATTAGGGCTGACTTCTTGCCAGACGTCCCCAATTGTCAAATAGAACTAGTAAGAGTGTCATGTCTCCATGGAGAAACTCAGGCTATACACCGAGTATGGACCCATATCAGAGTTATGGATCATCACGGGGAGCTGTTGGTGGGCCTTGTGCCCCGGCTTGCATGTGATATGCTATTGGGACGAGATTGGGCACCCCTGTATGATGTGATGGACAGGGTGCAGCACATCAAGGTCGCGCGCAAGACCTTAAAAATGCGAGAGGGATTGCTCGGTGATGCCGAAGAAGGAGATGGAACCGCGGGGAAGGAGGGCGATGCCGTAGCAGACTGGCGAGACATTGCCAGCGGCTGACAATTCTGGCAGGCACAAGAAGAATATCCCCAATTGCAAGAACTGTGGACACAGGCAACGGATGAGGCTCGTCAGCCGGCATCAGTCTCCGAGCCGGGGAGTCACTTCGAGGTAAGACACCACCTCTTGTATCAGGTTCAACCTGGCAGGGAGGAGAAGGAAAGCAGGGTCCAACTGGTGGTGCCCTCCTGTTTTCGGAAGGTGGTGTGGCAATTGGCACATACCAATCCCATGGGAGGCCACATGGGGACGGACCGTACAATAGACAAGATATCCTGGTGGTTCTTCTGGCCAAAAATGGGAGAAGATGTAGCCCGACGATGTGCTGAGTGCCCAGTGTGTCAAAAGGCTAGAGAAGACTGCACCCCCCCTGAGCTCCAATGACAGCAATGCCTATTATTGATCTACCCTTCTCCCAGATTGCCATGGATGTCGTTGGGCCCCTACCATGCAGCAGTAATGGACACCAGTACATCCTGGTGTTTGTGGATTACGCAACTAGGTACCCCGACGCAGTGCCTCCGAGGTCGGTAACAGCACCCCGGATCACTGAAGAATTGGTAAAATGGATAGCCCACATGGGGATTCCCCATGAGATCCTGACGGACCAGGGGTGAAACTTTATGTCGGGGGTCCTGCAAGGGGTGTGTCCAACCCTGCGAATCAAACAACTGAGGATGTCTGTCTACCACCCCCAAACCAGTGGGTTGGTGGAATAGTTGAATGGAACCCTAAAAAAGGTATTACGACAATGCCTACAAGGTGACCCACGGCATTGGGACCTGATGCTCCCACTGGTCTTGTTTGTGCTCAGGGATGCCCCATCAGAATCTCTGGGGTATTCTCCTTTTGAACTCATGCTAGGCCCACCAGCCACGAGGTTTGTTACAGATCCTCTGGAAAGAGTGGGAACAGAGCCCCGCGGTCGTCTCCAGCCCATCGAAATAAGGCAAAGGTAAGCATGTGTTCTCTTATAGGCTGGCGGACCTC